TGCACCCCAACCCCAGAGACCCCCTGTCTAGCATGCACCCCAACCCCACACAGACCCCCTGCCTAACATGCACCCCAACCCCAGAGACCCCCTGTCTAGCATGCACCCCAACCCCACACAGACCCCCTGCCTAACATGCACCCCAACCCCAGAGACCCCCTGCCTAGCATGCACCCCTCCTGTTGTCATGACCTCATCCTGCACAGAAGTCCCCTACCTGGCATACACCCCGTCCCTGCATGCTGCCTGGCATGCCCTCACCCAGCCTGCACCCACCCCACAGGCTGTGACCAGCCCATTCCCCCAGATCTAGAGCCCAGCTCAGGGCTGGGAGAGAGGCAGGTGCTATTTTTAACTCAGCAGCTTCAGCTCAGGTCAGCGGCGGGAAAGGGAGCCAGGGCCAGTCCCCTGCGGGGAGGATGGGGGAGCCTGGGGGGCTGCACTCATGTAAAAGGGGAATGGCCCCATTACGGCTACTGTTACCCTTCAGCTCCCAGCCCTTAGAATCATAGAATCATAGAATATCAGAGTTGGAAGGGACCTCAAGAGGTCATCTAGTCCAACCCCCTTAGGAGGACTTCAGTTAATTGGTCTTTAGGCACCTACAAAAGCTGCCCTCAGACCCCCGCCGCATGCTACCCTTGGGGCTGCAGCCGGGCAAGACAGGTGTCCCAGCCCCCTGCTGTGATTCAGCAAGACTGAGGCTCCTTGGGGGAGGGGTCCCTGTCTGCCCCCAACCCCTCGCTTAGCCAAGGGGACGCTCAGCAAGAGCGTCAGGCAGGAGATTCCCAACGGATGAAAGGAAGCGACTCCCACTCAAGGCACGTGAGCCTGTGGAACTCACTGCTACCAGACATGGGTAGTCACCCAGGGAAAGAACAGCAGCAACTTCTGGCAAGGTACTAACCCCCTTATGCCCCCAGCATGGTGTGACCCCGATCTCGAGGAGGGTCAGGATGAGGGGTGGGAGGAGTGGCCAATCACCACCCTGCAGGGTCTCACACCTCCCCTCTGACACACAGCTCCGGATGGGAGACAGGACGCTGGGCTAGATGGGCCCTCCCCTGGGCTGGGGGCGGGTCCCAGGCCTTTCCAGTGCTGTGAGGTAGCATTAGGGAACTGTCGGCTACTGCCCAGTCCCAGCAAGCGTGGAACAGCTGCCAGCACTTCAAAGCCGGGAGCTGCCGGGTCAGGGCCAGGTCGGCCAAAAACCAACCGCAGCACTGCTGAACTGACACCACAAGCTCCCAAGGGGCATGGGGGCTGGAGGGGGGCTGCCCCAGGCCTGCAAAGCCATGCCAGAGCAGCACGGGGGGTGGGGGTGGGGGGGCAAGTCCCACAACAGATCGCAGAGCCCGGGTCTCCCCAGCTCCTCCAGCCTGGGTGGGCAGCACTGGTAGCCCAGGTCACAGAGAATTAGGGGGATCCCGGCAGCAGGGGAGGTGGGTGGCAGAGGGGAAAGGGGTGAATTCTGGCAGCGGGGGAGGGGGGCAGCAGAGAATTAGGAAGGAGTGGGGGGAGGAGCCCCAATACAGAACCCAGGAGAGCAAGTCAGTCTGGGGGCCCCTTACTAGTGTCCCGGCTCCCCCACCCCTGACATGTTGCCCCAGCTCCTCTCAACGTGGCCTCTGCACGAACCATAAACCACATTTCACACCTGAGCGGATGCCGCTTGTGGTGACGCGGGCCTGAAACCACAGACACCTGCAGCAACACCCACAGGCCTCCCCAGTCCCACAGGGTGGGCCCAGGCCCCAGCCAGGGGCAATGGGCCCCCAGCCCACCAGGCCGACCCTTCCCCCGTCAGACGGGCTCCCGCCCGGCCCGCAGTCTAGGAAGGCACAACAGGGAGCAGGGCGCGAGAACGGCAGAACGTGTGCGGTGCCGACAGAGCCGGGCAACCCCCTCCCCGAGCCGGCCACCGACCTGGCGGCTACCCATAAAATGGGCACTTCCCAGGTTTTCCAACCGCCCCAGAGCAGGCTGGGTTTGGGAAGTGGGTCCCACTGACGCTTTCCATCGCCCCAGACACTGCCTGTAAGCTGGGGGGGGAGGGGTGTCTGATGTCACCCCCCCCGGGGATTTTTTTTGTGTTGATTAAAAAGGAAATTTCTGTGACCGCACAACAAAAAGCACCAGCTGTTTCAGTTGGAAAGTTTGTTTTTTTTTCCTGCCCACAGAAGTCGTTTCTGGCCATCTCTAGATGGTCGGCCATTCGCTGTCCCCATACACCCCACCTTCTATACCCCTCCAGCGCAATGCCCCATAGACACCCCTCACCACGCTAACAATGCATTTCCAGTGTGCCTCCAGCCGGCTCTCTCCCATGCCCACCCTGTAGTAATGCACGCGTCCTCCCCCACTCACCTCCTGTATGAGCCCCCAGCACGCCCGCCTTGGTATCGTGCCCCCCCAGCATGCCCACTTTGGCATCGTGCCCCCCCAGCATGCCCTGCAGTAATGCACGCGCCCTCCCCCACTCACCTCCTGTATGAGCCCCCAGCACGCACGCCTTGGCACTGTGCCCCCCCAGCACGCCCACTTTGGCATCGTGCCCCCCCAGCATGCCCTGCAGTAATGCACGTGCCCTCCCCCACTCACCTCCTGTATGAGCCCCCAGCACGCCCGCCTTAGCATTGTGCCCCCCCAGCACGCACGCCTTGGCACCGCGCCTTCCCCAGCATGCCCCCCTTGACACTATGCGACCCTCACAGCACGCCCGCCTTGGCACTATGGGAGTCCCCAGGACACCCGCCTTGGCACTGTGCCCCCCCAGCACACCAGCCTTGGCACTATGCACCCCCCCTGCACACCCTTCATGGTGCCATGTGCCCCCCCCCAGCACATCCTCCTTGGCACTGCACCCCCCCCAGCATGCCCGCCTTGATGCCGCATGCGTCAACACAGCGCCCCCCAGCACGCCCTCCTTGGCCCCATACACAGCTGCCCTCCCAAACATACCTGCCTTCATGCATATGTCCCCCCGCAATAATGCAGACTCTTCCCCCCACCACCCACGCAGCCCTTGGTACTGTGCCCTGCCCCCCGACCCCCATCAATACTCTTTTCAGCCCCCCCAGCAATGAGAAGAGACAGGGCTGGGCCTGGGTTCCAAAGAGACTTTATTACACACAAATGGAGACAGACGGTGACAGTGCCATAGCAACCAGTACACTCTGAAAATAACCGCTCTGGGGGGCTCAGAATATTTACACAAGGGGGCGGAGGAGCTGGCACCGTAAGACACAGTGGGGGGAACAGTGCATGGGGGGGGGGTGTAAACAGTGTGTCACATGGACACTGGGAGACAAGGGAGAAATGGCACTCCCTAGGGCACGTGCACACTGGGCGCCCCAGGGCCATCCACCCCCAAAGCTGGGCAGGTCACAGACATAGGGTGCGCCTCGGGGAAGCCCCCCCAAACAGAGAGAGAGTCACAGACTCTCCCGCTCTCATTCCAGGTGGGGCAGAATCAGGCAAATCACATCTTGAATCCAGGGAGCTGCGTGGGTCAGCTTTTAAAGGGGGAGGGTCTGCATTCCCCCATTTCCAGCCAGGCTGGGGCACCCCGGCACAGCCCCAGTCCCCCTCCCAATGCCTGGCTCAGGAACTACTCTATTGTACAAAAACCAAGGCATCAGCACAAACCTTCCTGTTGTGGGGGCAGGGGGTTGTCATCTCCCCATCCTGCCCCCCTTCCCGGCACTCCAGAGTCCCCAGCCCCATGTGTTCACCCCGAGCAGAGCGTCCCCATCCCAGCACATGGGTGTCAACGGAGCCTCTCCCCAGACACAAGGGCGCATCTCCTCCCACCTGGCCAGGCAGCCGAGACCCGCCTACTGCCTGGGGCTGGCGGGATCATGCGTCAGAAGTCCAGCGTCCATGGCCCCCCAGCAGCTTGTCGCCCCCTGGGAGTTTCCGCAGCCCCCTGAGTTAATCCATCTCTGCTCCCCAGACACTCTTGTCCTCGCCCGCGAGGGGTTCACCCCCCATTGTCTCGGCTCCCCCCAGGGCAGGGCGGTCACACATAGACAGCCGTCTTGGAGATGATGGACCCGTCGTGCTGCGACTCCATGTCGTCCTCCTCGTAGCCACTCGAAGCGCCGTGCCCAGGGTGGGCGCTGAGCCGCAACATGGGCCCCACCTCGTCAAGCCGCTCCTCCTCCTCCTCCTCGTGCCGCTGGCCGGGGTAGCTGTAGGGGCCGGGCCGCTCCCCAGGGGCCCCCTCGCCCGGCGTGGCCTTGAGGGGCCGGTCCAGCTCCGAGTCAGGGCGGTAGATTAAGTTGGGGGGCGGGGCAGCACCATTGCCGAAGACGCGGGTGGTGGGGTCATAGACGCCCTTGAGAGGGGGCCGGGCGCGGCGCCGGCGGAGCAGGAAGAATACCAGAGCCCCCAGCAGGGCGAGGGCCAGGATGCCCCCGACGAGGCCCCCAGCCACGGCTCCGGCGCTGCTCTGCAGCTTCATGGGGTGCTCTGGAGTAGAGAAAAGACGGGGGCAGGGGGTCACTCTCCAAGCTTCGGGGAGGGGGTGTTGCTCGCCACGTGCCGCTGGGCAGAAGAGCCGCGGATGGAGCCGTTGGGGGCAGGGGGAGGGTCGTGGCGACCCCTTTGTCATCTGAGGCGGCGCTTCCATGCAGAGCCGGGTCCTCCTGGGGCCAAGACGGGGTCTCCCCTCCCTTCCCCGCTCTGCCCAGCGCCCCACAAACTCACACCCCGCCCAAGCCCACAATGCACTTGGGCCCCTGCACGACCAGTCCCCACAATGCACCTGGGCCCCTGCACGACCCCTCCCCACAATGCACCTGGGCCCCTGCATCCCCATCCCCCACAATGCACCTGGCTATGTGCACACACCAAGCCCCTGTCCCCCTCTCCACAATGCAACCGGCTGTTGGCACAGGCCTCACCCCCTGCCCTCCCATGCATCTGGCTAATGGCACATCCCCCATCCCCTGCCCCACAATGCACCTGGTTAGTGATATATGCCACACACACTCCTCCACAATGCACCTGGTTTGCCCTGCCCTCCCACAATGCACTTGGGTATTAACTGCCCCCCACCCCTTGACCCCATACTAATGCTCACACATGCTGCCTGGCTGCTGCAGGAGCCTTGCACCTAGGTGCAAATCCTCAGGGCAGATAATTATTTGACACAGGACAGTCACAGGCATCCTCATCACCCCTAAGAACCAGAGAGAGAACCCAGGAGTCCTGAGGCCAGCCCAGCCCCCGCCTCCCACCCCTAAGAACCCGAGAGAGAACCCAGGAGTCCTGAGGCCAGCCTAGCCCCGACTCATTAGGAGAAGCTGAAGTTGGGGGAAGATTACCCCAGCTCCTGGGCTGTGGGACCCCTGAGGAGGTGGGGGAGTGGGGGGAAGCCAGCAGGGGTGTGGGAGAGCCCACCACACCCCCAGAAAAGACAATGAGGTGTAACACATTCCCCAAGCAGCTTCCACCAGCTAAGTGGGCCTTTGCACCCCCTCGCAGCCCCTCCCTCGCTCACAGGCTCAGGCAGGGACCAGAGCAATGCCTTGGGGAGAGGGGATGAAGCGGGGGGGGGAGGGGCATTTGCAGGGACACCTTCTCTCCCCCAAGACGGGCCCCTTTGCCTCCCAGGGCATGACACAGACACCCTTCCCGCACCCCTGGGAGCCCCACCCCCTGGAACTTACCCAATATCCCTGCATGAGACCCTGCCACCTTCCCCTGGGAGCCCCCCACCCCGTGGCACACAGACACCCCCAACTCCCACCCCTACCCTGCGCTCCTCCAGCCCTTTGAACAGACCCTGGTCCCAGATGACACACCCTTCACCCTGCTGGGGGAGGGGACACCCCCCATTCTCAGCCACCAGGGAAGGACCCCCGCGCACTCACCTCGCACCAGGACGGTCTGCTCAACCCGTGTCGTCCCCACGCTATTAGTGACCTGGCAGATGAAGGTCGTGTTCACCGCCACGTCCACCGACTGCACCACCAGCCGGTCACCCTGTACCTGCACCGTGGGGGGCAGCGTCCCACTGGGGCTGGGGGAAGGGAGGGGAGAGGAGAGACTGGTTAGAGACCAGGGCAGGGGGGTCTGACTCCCAGCATACCCACCCCACACCCTTCTCAGACCTCGGGTTTGTCCTGGCTTCCAGCCCCCTCCCATGCTCTACCTACTAGACCGCACTTCCCTCCCAGAGCCGGGGATAGAACCCAGGAGTCCTGGCTCCCAGCCCCCTGCTCTAACCACTAGACCCCACTCCCCTCCCAGAGCCGGGGATAGAACCCAGGAGTCCTGGCTCCCAGCCTCCCCTCCCCCCGGCTCTAGCCGTTTGACTCCTTGTGCATTCAAAGCAGGAACAACCCCCAACATACTTGCTGCCGTCACACCATGGGGAGCGGGGGACTGCCACTGGCACAGCACTTCTGAGCTCTGTGCCAGGGGCTGGGTGGGGCCCCCCAGATAACCCCTCCGATGCGCAACGTAAGCGTGGCTGCCATACACCGACCCCCCACCCCAGCCGCTCTCCTTTCAGCCCGGGCTCCTAGCAGTGC